AGGGAGAGGGAAAAAGAGGGAGGGAGGGGGAGAAGGAAACAGGGAGGGAGGGGGAGAAGGAAACAGGGAAGGAGGGGGAAGAAAGAAACAGGGAGGGGGAAGAAAGAAACATGGAGGGGAGGGGAGGGGAGGGGGGAAGAAAGAAACTGACAGGGGAGGGGGGAGAAATAAACTAACAGGGAGGTGGGGGGGAAAGAAACTAACAGGGGGGGAGACATTGACAGGGAGGGGAATTGATGGGGAGAGAGAAATTGACAGGGAGGGGGGAGTGACAGGGGAGGGAGGGGGAATGAGAGTAACAAGGGAGGGGGGGAGAAGAGTGACAAGGGAGGGGGGAGAGATTGACATCCATCACACACACACACACACAATCACACACAATGCACCCCTTACACACAAAGACAATGAACCCCTTGTACACAGAAAAACACACAATGCATTACACACACAATGCATTACATACACACACACACGCAATGCAACCCTTACACACAATGCATCCCTTGCACACACAGAAACACACAATGCATTCCTTACACACACTCAATGCACCCCTTACAGACTCACACTCTTCATCCCTTACATACACAGAAACACACCTTGCAGCCCTTACACATACAAACACAGATTCACACAATGCATTCCTTACACACAAATCAGGACATTCCCTACACACTCCATCCCCTGTGAACAAACTCATTGGTGGAAAATGAAGGTGGACCCTGGGACCCAGACCTTGAGCTGTGTAAAGGGCCCCCCAAAAATGGAGCTGCTTCTCGTTCTCCCAGAACATTGATTTGTGTGACCACAGTTACAAACAGCCTCCAGAGATCCTGTTATACACCAGACCAGTGGAGCCAGACTGCAGCTAGAGCCCATCATCATCCTCATCTGCTTGTAAGTAGGTAATCTAGTATATTATTCGTAGCACTAATCTCTAATTTACCTCACATTAAAGAAACACTATAGTCCCCAGAACCACTGCACCTTAATGTAGTGGTCCTGGTGTCTATAGCCTGTCCCTGCAGGCCTTTTAATGTAAACACAGCGGCACTGCAGCACTAGCGTTAGTTAACATGGCAGGTCATATGGGTGGGGCATTGCGATGTCATGGGGGGGAGGAGGGGGGCGGCAAACTTTACTTTTGCCTAGGGCGGCAAAAATCCTTGCACCGGCCCTGAGTGCACCCACACGTATTATATATCATTTTGTTCAGAAGAAACTGGGCTTTAATTTCTCATGAACTAATCATATTTGAAACATAATTTACTATGAATAAAATTTAAAAACTGTGAGAAATTAAGATTTTTAAAAAAAATTATAGACATTTTAGCTGTAAATGTCATAATACCATTAGCTTTAACTGCAAAAAAAACCATATATTTGGATTCAGCAAAGTCTCACGCATACAACAGTACCCACAATTAACAGTTTTTACTGTGTTTTGGAAAGTTAAAGGGTCAAATATAGCACATTCCATTTTTTTGTTTTTTCAAATTGAAATTTGTCAGGTTGGTTATGTTGCCTTTGAGACGGTGTGGTAGCCCAGGAATGAGATTTACCCCCATGATGGTGTATCATTTGCAAAAGTAGACAACCCAAGGTATTGCAAGTGGGGTATGTCCAGTCTTTTTTAGTAGCCACTTAGTCACAAACAATGGTGAAAAAAGCAAAAAAAACTAATATTTGGCCAGTGTTTGTGACTAAGTGGCTACTAAAAATGGCTGGACATACCCCATTTGCAATACATTGTGTTGTCTACTTTTTCAAATGGTATGCCATCATGGGGGTAATTCTCATTCCTGGGCTAAGTGTATTTTGTTACCAATATATATGTATTAATAACAGAATTAGTTAGAATGAGACTACATATGTATATATAATTTATTTAAATTTGTTTAAAATATTTTATTTATTTATTTTATTATTTTATTTATTTACTATTGTAATTATACGTATATATAAACATTAAAAAAAAATATATACAATATATATATCTGTAACGTCATTCTAAGATTAGAATGACTTTTAAGATTAATATATGTACTTATATTAACATACATTACGTATCACATTACATATACATATATATATATAAGATGTATATATTAGATATAATATATATATATATATATATATATATATATATATATATATATTTTATCTATATATGTATATATAAATACTTTTATTTTATTTTAAAACATGTTTAATTATTTATTTTTTTCAGACAGTCCCCCTGCTGGCAGATCCACAGCCAGCTATAGGGGGCCATGTGATCGCTCTTTTAGAAGGGCGATCACATGGCCCCCGGGGGCCTCATTTGCTGGGGTAGGGCTGCCTGGGCTGTCAGGCAACCCTCCAGAAGAGAATCGCAGCGGAGGTGAGTAGCTGGAGGCTCCTGGGGCAGAAAGCCGTTACGGCGTTCTATGCCGCCGCAATGGCTTTAAAGCCCATTTAATGTGGGACAGCATAGAACGCTGTAACTGCGTTAAGGGGTTAATAAGTGTGTAAAAAAAATACCCTTCTCTGTATCATTAGAGATTTTACCGTTTGACTTAAAGCAGCAAGGTGAATTCTTAGTGTAGTGAACTTACACTTTAATGGCCATTGGAGTGATACTTTACTCATTGCTGCCACCCAGAAGTAGTGGGAGTTTGAACGCAGGGCTTAATTCGGTATGTTTCTACTCAGCTTTCCTGTTGTATTTGTTTTTGTTTATTAACCAGCTCTATGTGCTTAATGGGTATCTTTGTTTTGTGCCTAGTTGTGTATATTGTATGGGTATCTATGTATTAAACTCAATTTCTATATGTGCATTTATTGGTATCTCCTTATAATACTGGGTTCTTTGCAATTGTATCTCTTTATTGTACCTGACTCTGTTTATTGTATGTGTATCTCTGTATTGTGCACAGTTGTGTATTTTATAGGTAGCTATGTATTGGTCCTAGCTTTGAGTATTGTATGGGTTGTTGCTCTATAATATAACTAGCTTTGAGTATTGCATGGGTAACTCTGTATCGTTTCCACTAAGGGTTGAGTACAAGAGGTCAAGTTGAATGATGCCACAGGTAGTGGTGTATTTTGGTTTTGTGCTGCCCTAGGCCTGACAAAACTCCTTCTCCCCTCACTCCCCCCTTCTAAATGTATCTTCCTGTTTAAACCCAACACACACACTCATTGATGCATACACTGACATACATTCAATGACAGACACACAGTCTTTGGCACACATACTGTTTAACCAACACACACTTTCGCTGAAACATACACTCTCTCTGACAGACAAACAAACACACACACACACATTCACTGACAGACACATACACACACTGACAGAAATTCACACATACGCATTGCACACTCACTCACTGTCAGACACACACCAAATCAGAGTCAGACACACACACACTGAGACACACACATACACACACCCACGCAATGTCAGACACACCCACGCAGTGTCAGACACACATTCACTGGCAGACACACACACTGACAAACACAAATACACACATTCACTAAGACACACACACACTGAGACACACACACACGCAGATACACTCACAAACACACACATACACTCACAGACACATACACACACACACACACACTCACAGACACAAACACACACACACAGTTGCATAGTTATATAGTTGCATAGGCTGACAAGAGACATGTGTCCATCAAGTTCAGCCTTCCTCACATTGTTTTTTGCACTTGATCCAAAAGAAGGCAAAAAAAAACCCAAAAAACAGTTTGAAGCACTTCCAATTTTGCAACAAACTAGGAAAAAAATTCCCTCTTGACCCCAGAATGGCAGTCAGATTTATCCTTGGATCAAGAAGCCATTACCCTACAGTTGAAAAATGATATCATTGAATATTATGTTTTTGCAAGTATGCCTCTAGTTGCTGCTCAAACACCTCTACAGACTCTAATAAAAACCACTTCTTCAGACAGAGAATTCCATATCCTTATTGTTCTTACTGTAAAAATGTTCTTCCAGTCTAAATGCATGACCTTGTGTCCTATGTAAAGTCCTCTTTGTGAACAGATTTCAACACAATGGTTTGTATTGGCACTGGATATATTTGTATTATTTTATCATATCCCCTCTGAGGCAACGTTTTTCTAAACTAAAGAGGTTTAACCCCTGATGGACAGCGGGTGTGCTGTGCCGTCCTTGGGGACTCGGCTTTAAACGCAGAGGGGCGACATAGCACGTGCCCACCGTCCTTTGTACTTACCCGGTCGCCGGCGATCCCACGCAGTGTGGGGACTCACCTGGCAGCCCAGGGAGCCCACTTCCGTCCGTTCCAGTCCCCGTGGGCCATGTGATCATGAGGTCCTTGCGAGCACTTAGCGATCACATGGACGGCATAGCACGTGGACAAATTGTATTAATTACAATTTGTGGGATCTGCCTGACAATCCAGGCCAAAAGTCCAAGGAATTTACTTTGCTAGCACTAGATTTAACCTTGTAACTTTCCAAGACACCATAAAACCTGTACATGGGGGGTACTGTTTTACTCAGAGGACTTCGCTGAACACAAATATTACTGTTTCAAAACAGTAAAATGTATTACAACAATTGCATTTTTCACACACAAATGACACACAGACGATATAATTGTTGTGATACGTTTTAACCCCTTAAGGACCAAACTTCTGAAATAAAAGGGAATCATGACATGTCACACATGTCATGTGTCCTTAAGAGGTTAAAACACTAATATTTGTGTTCAGCAAAGTCTCCCGAGTATAACAGTACCCCTCATGTATAGGTTTTATGGGGTTTTCAAAAGTTACAGAGTCAAATATAAGGCTTGTGTTTCAGTTGAAATTTGCAAGATTGGTTACGTTGCCTTTGAGACCGTATGGTAGCCCAGGAATGAAAATTACCACCATAATGGCATTCTATTTTCAGGTATTGTGAATGGGGTATGTCCAGTAGCCACTTGATCACAAACACTGGCCAAAATTGGCATTGAAATTAGTTTTTTGCATTTTTCACACACAAACAAATATTAACACTAACTTTGGCCAGTGTTTGTGAATAAGTGGCTACTAAAAAAGTCTGGACATACCCTATTTGCAATACCTTGGGTTGTCTATTATTGCAAATGGTATGCCATCTTGGGGTAATTCTTATTCCTTGGACCTAAGGTGGCCAGCCATCCAGCTCTTGGGCCTCCCAGTGCAAGAGGCTGGTAAGGCATTTGCCAGGGTGCTTGGGGGTGGCTTTTCTGCCACCCCCTGAAAGTCCCACCCAAGGCAAATGCCTTGTTAGCCTCGCACAAAATATAGCGCTGGACACAGGTCAGAAGATGATGGCTACAGAATTAAAGGGTTAAGTCAAATTCAGGGTGAGGAGTCTGACATCTCTCCATTTTAAAATGTCACCAGCCACCACTGATACCAGGCTGGTAAAAAATGTCAATTGTAGTTTTTCAACATCTTTTTTGGCATCTATGATATGTGACATGACTTTCAAGTGGTTTATATGGTTTCTGTAAAGGCTGCATAAGGGGATTCTGTTTGCCACTCTGGAGTCCCAAAGTTGCCTATGCCTGGTCTAGTTTATATATAGGTGGTCTAATGAACTAATCATCCATATTTTTATTTCCATTGACTTCTAAAATTTCATTATCCACAACTGTTGTTAGGTTCATTTTGCTTCTCAGATCTGCTTTGTTCCGTTTCTGTGCAGAACTAGAAAATATTGCATTGAACCATGAGAATGATAATGTCAGACAAAACACAAAGCAATCCCAAAACTAATTCTGAGAAAAGCATCTATTAAGATATTTATGGTCATAGTTGCTTAACTTATAAATTGTAATAAGACCTTGAAATAATTAACTATGTTAAGGAGATTGGCATAAATGAAAGATACTGCTAAATAAATCAATGCTCCATAGCATATAACAAGCATACTAATTTCTAGGATGTTTGTGTAACGCAGATTTACACTTACACCCTATCCTATCAATAGAAAATCTGTGCCTACTTTCATATTTCAGAATTACCTTTTATGCACAGTTTTGTGAACATTTATTTTTGGAATGCATGAAA